CAACTAGCAAGAGCAGCAATGAGTGAACTAAACGGGGTCTGGCGTGATCGTCACATTACTATGACAAACAAAAAGAGACTCGTTTCAACTCTGGTCTTTTCCATATTTTACTATGCATGCGAGACATGGACAGTCAAAGAATCAGATCGACGACGTATAGACGCCTTTTACAAATATCTCGGTTCTGGATGAAATTAAACCGGATCAGCGTCTCTCTAGTACCGTTTACTCTAGAATTTTAAAGTTCTTTGGCCATATCCATCGAAGTGATCACAAAATGGAGCGGTTGGTGGTCCAAGGAAGGCCTCAGACTCAACGCCAACGCGGAAGATCTCCACAGCGATGGGCGGACATTACTAAAAAGCTTCTCAATAAACAGTATACTGAGGCAATACATATAACTGATGACGGCGACCAGTGGAGAAATATTATCAATAAAACTGTCCGAGCTGCTGAAGCCCAATTATGAACCACAACACATCTACTAAGATGTTAATGACTGTGATGATGATGAAAATAATTGTTATTAAAATAATTGTTAACTAAATTAATTATTAAAAGATTTACAATACATTAAAAACTCGATCCGAACCCTCGTGGAAAGAGAGTACTACAATTACTGTCATATAATATTCCTAATGAAAAACACCTACAGATAAGCTATTGTTTAATAACACTGATTTATTATTTTGTTAACCTCAAATATTTAGTATTGTATACTTTTTTGACGGATGGATATTGACGATGATAATAATTTGTTTGGAGATGATGATAAAGTCTATGAGCGTCAAAGTGGTGAAAACACAAAATCGGACGACAATGATGTGAGTATACATAGGTCCACCAGCGAAAACAAAGGTAAAAGAGAAAAGTATTACTACTCCTACGACTAGTGGGGCAATAACAAAAAATGTTTTTAAGGACGATTTATCCCTTAGCAGTGATGTAGGCAATTCCAATTATTAATATAATAAAGTTACCATGAAATGCTATGAAAGGTTGCTAGAATATGAAAGCTCATACTGGACTGATACACACGTTTCAAATGTTAAAATGCAATCTATCTTCTCATATGTCGAAATCCAACCTACTCTTTGATCAAGAAAAAGGGACACAAACTCTACCAAATCTAAAAATAATACACTACAATCTTACAGTAAAGAGTCAGCGATTGAAGGTGTGCAAGGTTATGTTTTTAAACACACTTTGTATATCTAATTTAGTGTTGTAGTAAATATGTTTAAAAAAATTGAACCAGGAAGTTTAATAAAAGCTGATCAAAGAGGTAGACACACGCCAATCAATAAAAATCTTACCGAAACCGTAAATAGTATACATCAACATATTAATTCGTTCTCAAATTGCGAGAGTCATTATTCCAGAGAAAGGAGCAAGAGAAATTATTTGCGCACAGAACTTACAATAAACAGATGTTATTACTGTACCTCCATTGATGAATGCAATAATTACTGTACCTCCATTGATGAATGCAATAAAAGACATGTGAATCCAAAGCGAAGAACAAAAAAGTGGTTGCACGCAGATATTTTTATTAAATACTTTATGTTGTTGTTATAACCACCAGAAATAGACACTTGTGATACATGCAGTACAGTCACTTCTCAATTGAAGAGAATCTTATGAACTAACTAGTGTACAGGCTGATTATGATGCTGACCTAATTGAATCTAAAACTCGGTATAACTTAAAGTAATTGAACTTTATAATGGCTAAAGAGTCACCAAAACACAAAGTACTATCTGGTGATTTGCAAAACTGTTTGCCTTTGCCACTTACAAACAATTGTATTAGTTTTTACAAAAATAAGCTTTGGACATTAAATTTTACATTATATGATGCCAGTAATTTTCCTGTACAATGTTCTGTACAATGTAGAGGTCATAACTCTTTAGACCGATAACTGCTATGGACAAAATAAAAACATTATAATGTGCTATATTTGTATACTTTATACAAAACCTCAAATAATGATGATCATTTAAAAGTTTTTACAGAAAGGGTACATACATGGAAGCAGACAGTGTTCATGCTTTGATCGAGAGAAATACACAACATGGACCTTGCAGATTTCAAAAACTTCAAACCGTTGTTCGATAAGAAACTGTCACAAAAAGAATGTGCCTAAACTACTGTCAACATGTGCTTTTCTACAAGTCCAACAAGAACACATTGGAAAGCTCTTTTATAAGACCGATTATATTAATTAAAATTTGTTATAAAGTGGACTTTACGAGGTATCGAACACAGCAAGTAACGTTTCCAGCCCAAGTCTCAGTAATCCCATTTCCAATTACAAAACAAAAGTGCAATGACTTAATTGCACTATTGCTTTGTGTTCTGTAGGCTTATCATGAATTTTATCAAAATTTAACACATACCATTGTAACCACAAACGACTACCCCAAGAAGATAAAGATGATATGGAGCCTCTAACACTTTTGAGATTTGTCGTCTATAATTTTACTTAATTATTATAACATTTTAATAGTTGTCTCTAATAAAATAATGGTATAGTTTAATGTGTTTTTCTTATTTATTTCGTAGAAATGTTACAATTTAATGTCAAATTATTTAAAAAAAGTTGTTAGAGTTATACAACACTATGTCCAACTACGCATTTTTTTAAAAAAATTATAATATGAACGGTAAACTTCAGTTATATAAGACTTCATGGAAAGAAAAACGATTATATACACAACAATAATAATATATTAATCTTGGTTAAATATAAGAAGCATTTGAGTATTTACTGATTACAAATTAAAAAAATGTTAAAAATGCTCACCTGAAAAGGTAAGAAAATGGACATAGTGTCCTTTACCTCCGGGGTAGGTACAGATATGTTTTTATCAGTTTTTGTGTTTTTATTTACGCTTACATAGGTACTTACTATTTAGACTTTGAAAAACAAAAGCAAATGTCGAGCACAATTTTATTAATCAAATCTTGCCTAATTACTTTTGCTTTCTAAAGCACCATCAGGGGCATTTCGTCAAATTTGGGCTATCCAATAAGCACAGAATGTAATAAACATAAAATTAAACATAAATTGTACATAACACTACACTAAACTTGACAAACAGTTTAAAATTTTGTAAAGATTTATCGACGCTACATTCTTGACGGCAACAGAAGAGAGAAGTTCTCTCATTAAATCTTTTTTTTTTTAAGTAAAATTATACTGCAAATAATCTGAATTTAGTAAAAACATTTTTTATGACTGGTTTAGAGCTTTATGTTTAACTATATATTGGAATTATTGCAAAACAAGTATTCTAAGTGTACGTTAAAAGTGAAGATAAAACGGGTTCCTGATGGACCCCTGTTGGTTTATATGAAGTTTCGTCTTAATTTGTTGTGATTATTGTGTAATGTTGTTGTGATATTGTTTCTTAAAGTTTTATTACTTATTTGTATATGTTGCTTTTGGAAATGACAGGCAATGACAACTGGAAAAGGCAAAAGTTTAATTTGTTGGTAATAACCGAAGATAACATCCAAGGACTTAGGGACTCTGTTGAAACGGATTCGTCAGAAGGTGATTATAGCAGTGATGATCCACACATCGACAATCATTATCCGTGAAATGCAAAAAGGTGAAACAAGCGACTACTTTATTTAAAACGTGAACATGTCCCTGAATATCAGTGATATAGAAGCTGACGAATGTGTCGTATCTTTAGAAAAGGAGAAGGCTAGGCCGTCTACATATATGAAAGCAATTTCATTTACTTCAGCCACCGATGCCACACGTATTGCTATTAGTTTTAAGGCAACAATACGACCCCGTTTGCCATTACCTATAATAAAAGGTTTTGGTCTTTTGCTCACGCCTTCGATTGGTGGTTTTACTGGAAGCGTAATAATTATATATTTATGCTTTATTAATACTGTTCTATTTTTATTCTCATTTCAGCTATTCAGAATATTAAAAAACGGAACACTTTACCAAGATAACGTAGTGTAAGTAATCAATGCGCTTGCATGTAAACGAAGTAGCTTTCCAAGGATATGCGTGGTTGCTATCGTCAATAAAAGAACTAAAATAAGAATAGAACTCTTTAATATTATAATTATAATAATAAAACGGTGCTGTGTTAGTTTATTTACATGCAAGAGGAATCTATAGCCTTGGTACAATACGAAAAAATAGAATCCCAAACTGTAAGCTTTCGTTGGATAAGGATATCAAGGATGAAGAAAGAGGATATTCTGTTGAATATGTTGGATCTATGTACTGTGTTGATTTCTGTACAATTTTATGGAAATATACCAAGAACGTGCGGCTGACATCGACTAAGGTTGGCATTGAGCCCTTTTTGAGAGCAAATCCAAATCAACATATTAAAAAAGTATCGCGATATGATCGAAAGAAAAAGAAATACATCGAAGTGAACTATCCGCAGATCATTCGCGAATAGAACAAACAGATGGGAGAAGTCCATCTGATGGATGGATTGATAAGTCGCTACCCTATTAGAGCAAAGACACCAAGTACAATGTTTCGAGTTTTCGACCACTTGATCGATATGATTGCAACAAACGCTTATATGCGATTGTACCGTCGCATACATGCTAAAAAATTTAATGATTCGGGCAATATTTCAGCAGAACATGAAAAGTTGTTGCAGCTACCAGAATTCAGAGAACAAATTGCTGCTGCTTTCGTTGTATTCAGTGGAAAATGTGTATTTGGCCGACCTTCAACATCAAAATCGAGCTTACCGCAACCAAATACTTCTGGCATTGGAAAAAAAGCAAAATTATTGATGACATTCGCTTTGATGGTATTGATTACTTTCCACTTTGGCTCAACAAAGAAAGTGGTAAGAATTAAACTTTGCAAAGTATCGAAAACTCTTCAAAAAAATTTACAACTGAAAAGAATAATTTTAATATAATAATCTTGCCAGTTAGAGTGTTAAATTAAGTGTAATTGGCGTACAATCAAACAATAAGTTTATTTATTATTTTTTATTGGAAACATATATTAAACAGTAAGAAAGACAAAAATCAGGAAATATGGGACACTACGGACTTATTAGACATTTATCTGCAATGGCACTGCTTTCTGTCGTCACACCATCCTCCTGGTCTGTGCTTGACTCTGCAGTGAGCAGCACAGGCAGCGTCATTCAGTTTAAACTTGGCATATGAAATGGATCCAATTACGTCACAGGTGAATCGCTTTACGCGGACATGCCCTAAAAATCATATATTTATTATGGTTGTAAAAGTTGACCATAGTAATAAAAAAATTGCACATAATTTACCTTACAAAAGATATGCAACAATAATACGATGGAAGTGAATACGGATTAAAAAGTACAAAACGTGTAGTTTGAGTTATCAAAAAGCAGAAATAGGTCAGTTTTGTAAAAGTTAAAAAGAGTACAAAGAATAAAAATGTTAAAATAGCATTGTAGTAGATTATATTTATTTAACTTTAGGTAATATTATTTAATCGGTTTGTTCTAAGCAATAAATGACACAGTTGAATTACCGACTAAGGCACAATGCGAACACTTTAAAGGTTGTACATAAATTCAACAGATATTCGTTTTAAAGTGTGTTAATTGAATATGAGTTGAAGCGTATAAATACGAGTATACCCGAAAACCAAGACTGACATTTCATACAGCTCGAACAGCAGTAATTTTAAATCAGTTAACATAGGGTTTTAGAATTATAATATATATATATATATATATATATATATATATATATATATATATATATATATATATATCCTATTGAAACATCAAGACGAAGCAGAACTAATCTGACTTGACAATGGCAAGTGTGATCTTGCCGAAACGTTGTCAAAACAATGGTTTTTCTAAAAACCAAAATTACCTAACGCGGAGTCAAACCCGGAAAACAACTGAAATCACATATAGCTCTATCAATCTACATATATATTGTTTGTACTATTAAAGGGAAAATAATATAATATGTATTAATAATAGTATATACTCAAGAGTTGTAGAAAAAATATTTTCATATAAAGATATAAAGGCTATCATTCTGATGAATTCCTCTCATAAATAGCACCCTTTACATAATATCCATAAATATATGTTTATAAATATAATATTATCTATGATTAACAAAATATATTGACAATAATGATAAAATTTGACTTACCATTTTCTTCAACTTCTTCTATAGGTGAAGGAGCGGCCAACACATTGGCTACCAATACACACAGGAACAATGCAATTGCGATATTCATGATAAACTAGTATTCTTACTGATGTATGAATATGATGAATTTCAGTCAACCAGTCTTTTTATATCATTCTGAAAATCTTTATTGGCCACCTAATGGGAAATTTGGTTTCCCGTTGCATATTTTATATGTGGCTTGTTAATAAATTCCAACCAATCAAAATTGGTTGGAATTATTTATCGAGTAAATACCATTGTTTGATTGTTGTTGGCGACGATCACAGGGAAATTATATTAGTAATAATGTGTATTTATTTGTATTTATTATTAAAATTATTATTATTGGAAATTATTAAAATAGCATATTTTTTCATATTCAAATAAAATTACTATAAAATAAGTTAGAAGTTTACGTGATTTATTATTGTTATTTCTAATATTTCGAAGATTGAGATTCTCAATATAATTTTATTTTATCTCATATGAGGACGTAAACTTTGATTAATTATTAACAAAGTTAACAATATATAAAGGGTTTTTACCCTCATCTTTAGTTGCTTTCCTCTTGTATACCTAGTAACTGCACTGCTGATGGTTTTTTTAGTTCGAAACCGTTTTGTGCTGTAACCCAAAAGTGCAGTTTTAGACCATAATGTGGCGACTGCCCAAAAACTTACATCGGTCAAACTGGTAGAAACTTTAACAAATGAATAGCAGAACATAAAAGGGCTTTCAATAATAGAAAAACAGATTCTACATACACACTTCACCTTCTGGATCCCAATCATTCTTTTAACGACGAATTTAAAATTCTTCACATTCAAAATAAAGGCCTTAAGCTATCCTTGTTAGAATCTATGGAAAACAACAAATTAAAAAAATACAGATATAATTCTGAATGACCAACTTGAAACAAACAGTTCTCCCCTCCTCAACATATTTTTTTAGAGACTTGAGAAAGGCAAGATCACTTGAGAAAGGCAATCGGCCGAAACAGCTGTAGTGATAAGAGTTAAAATAATTTTTTGTGAAAGTTTGAAAACAAAGTTTTCAGTGTTTTATTGTTACATAAATAATATTTTTTGATTTTAAAACACTTTTTTTATGTAGCGCAATTATAAAAATTCATTGTTATAAAAGGTATTTAACTAAAATTAATTTTATTGGTTATTTTTCTGCTACAAGACTGCTTTTCTTCTTATCCCATTAGCGCCCAAGTTTTTTTTTTGAAAATCTTTACTTTTAGGGTGAATTAGATGAAAATGTTAATAATTTAATCCAAAAAAATAAGTTTTTGGGTTTCATGTTTTTTTTTAAATTACATGGTGTTACCATATGGTAACGCTGGGCGCTTAAGGAATTTTTAAGATAGTTGAAATAAAAATTTTTAATTTTTTTTTAAATATTTATTTGAGAATATTTTTATCGTCTGGTGTGGTATCCTATAAAACAATTAACACACAAACCAACGTTGCATTTTTGGCACATTGTTCGTCCAGATATTGTACATCCTTCACCAGCACATCGCCTTCTACTGCTTGGTGTAACGAAATGATCGATGCGATGAAAACGAAGATCTGGCAAGTTCTGTCTATGTAGACTAGGTCTTCTTGTATATAAGGGAGGACTTCCATATCTTGCGAGAAGAACTTGGGCCAATTCTCTCCTAAACGATAGCAAGGATATATCTTTTTTATTTTTTTATATAAATGCCATGAATTATGGACTGCAACATCCAACAACCATGTTACAATTGGCCAGTACCATTTTTTCCTGCGAATTGCTACTCGGTAGGTTGAAACACCTTGATCCATCAAGTCGGTACCCCCCATATTTTTATTGTATTCAGCAATACAGTGAGGCCGACTTACTTGAATATGGCGTTTTTCTTCATGAGAAAATCTTTTTACCGTGCCCAATACTGAACCACCACAACTCGTAGATGCCATTGTGACAACAGAGTTATCTTTCCATCGCACCAGTAAGATACCGCTGTTTTTTTCTATTGTATGTTGTGAATAGCCACGTTTTCTTTTAGAAAACTTCTTCTTTTTTTCAAGGGACAGCTAGATGGAGTTCTGTTTTCTCTAATTGTTCCAATTGTGCCGTACCCCAAAAATCGTAGGTAACTAAATAAACTAAATCCTGAAAATAGGTTCTCAACGTGTAAATTGTAGTGTAAATCTAAGTGATTTATCTCTTTAAGCATTTGCACCAAAGGGGATGAACACTTGCCAAAAAGTTTATCGTATTGTTCATTTGAACGTGGATTTCTTCCTTGGTATAGGTCAAACTTTACCAGATATCCAGTAGAAGTATTTAGCGACCACATTTTATAATTAAAACGAATTGGTTTATTTCGTATAAATTGTTTACATTGATAGCGGCCATAATACTTTTTCATAGACTCGTCATATAATAGATTTTTTGTTGGAACAAAATTTTCAAGACATTTTGTTTTTACTCTGTCAATCAATGGTCGAATTTTCCATGCTTTATGACTAATATTAGGCTTTGTATTATCTGCGAAATGCAAAAACCTTTGAATTTGTAGAAATCTATTTCGTCTCATTGAATTAGAAGCTAAAGTGTTCTTTACATCATCATGAGTATCCCAATACATTCTCTTCGATGGTAATGGATTGTACCCCGATAGCAGGAGAATACCTATAAAACAACGTATTTCTCCAGATGTAATGCATGGGTCAGTTTGGTTTACAAATTGTGCATATCGTTGGGATTCTTCCGCTAAGTAGTTTACTGTCTCATCATCAAAAAATATACTGAACATATCAAGACATGATAGATTTTCATACCTAGAATAATCTTCTTCTGGAAATGAAAAACTTGCAGACTGTAAGTCTCCTTGAACCCAAGCACAGTTTTTCAATACATCTTTTTTTTCATTTTGCCATAGTTGAAACGATGCTCTAGTTTCTCTTTCGGGTGTCTCCACTACTGCTTGTAACTGTAATAGAAATAAATTTTAAACCTAAGTAAATTAAAAAAATTACTGGTTATACTTACATCTGTCTGCACTTCTTCATTGTCAGTACCGATCCTTTCGTTGCTACAAAGTTGTATTTCTGCTTGCGCTCGTAGCTGCTTACCTGTAAAAATAAACAATTATAATATGTACGTATATCATTATTTGTACAACTAAGCACCTGTTAGGTTATTTATGAATCCACCTTCATCTTCATTCGCAGAATCCTCGTCTGTATCAGCACCATTTACATCTGGCGGTGTTATAAAAATCATGCAAAAACAAAATATCATGCAAGGAAAAATAGCAGGCAAACGCAGTCCAGGACGAAGAAGAACCTCATGGTTGAAGAACTTGCGAGACTGGTGTGGTGTAGATACAAGCATGCTATTTAGGGTAGCAGTGGATAAAATTAAAATAGCTATGATGGTAACCAACGTTCTGAAAGGACATGGTACATGAAGAAGAAGGTGTTATAAAAATATTATCGACTTGCTCAGCTAATTTTTTGTCACCGTAAACTATATCTAGCGCTTCTGCTAACGAAAATCCACGACTGAAAAAAAAAATTAAAATATGACTCCGTAAGCGCCCACCGCAACCATATGGTAACGGCGTAGTTTGACTATTCCTACCAAATTCGCCAAATTCGGCAAAGAAGTGGAGATTTCGGACTACTTATAATTATGTGGATTCTGTTGAATTAAAGATTGATTGAATTATCTTTGGTCATAAATCTACTACGTAGTTTAAAACAAGGACGAGAAAAACTACCAGTTTCTCTTAAACTTTTTGCCTTTCTTTCAAATACTTCTTTGCCATAATGTCTCCTGTCAGGATATCTTACAAAATATATACGTGAGGAAATAGCGGCATTTTGGTGACATTCGAAAAAAACTCCAATCATATCATACAATTTGATATACTCATCACGAATTATTTGTACTGATAATTAATTACTAATATTACCAATATTAATATATATTGAAAAAAGTGCAATCTTTAATTCGAATTATAATATAGCACTTCTTAACAATATTTTGACTGCTGTCAATAAATAAACAATATGAACTCCCCGTCAAATTCATTGTCGTAACCTACTTAGTTTCGAAAAAACTATTTTTTTCAAAATAGGTATCAACATTAAGATTATTCTGCTATAAAAAAATTTGAAAATACCTACTGACTTATTTTTTAATGTAATTTATAATACAGGGTGTGTCAATACTATACTTACTTATGTTTATGAGTTTTTATTCATATCTCGAGTTCAACAAAAGCTACTAACATGCGGTTTGCTCCATTTTGTTACTAATTTAATCCAGTTCCATTATGAGTTACAATAAATGGGTGTTTCTATTAAAAATTTTGAAGAAAAACAAATTCAAATTTTTTTTATTTGATAGTCCCCTCTACCTACGACTATGAAAACTAAATGCACGTATTTTATAGTAGATGTAAATTCATTCATCCACACTCTTTCTAATGACACTAATTTCATTAAAATCGGTTGATCTAAACCAAAGTTATAGGTATTTATCCACAAATACTTTCCCACTCTCCCCCACCCTTTATTTAAAAAAATAAAAAAAAGTACTTGAACAACTTTGTGCAGAATTTATGCCTCTTTTTAGTTTACCTATTTAACACCTGGTATAATAGGACATATTTTCCAAACAACTGGTTTTCAAAATTTTCTTCGCAGATTACGCCCCCTAGCGGTTAATCCAGAATCTTAAAAGTTATTTCCAGCGATTTCTCTTGGCCACTTTTACTAAGGAATTTTTTCTCCTATAAAGTTATAACATGAATAGTTTCTGATACATAGCCGAGAGATCGGCTTATTGGACCACCCGGTACATTTAAATAAATGTACACTCATTAATAAGAACGACTTGGGAGAAACCGAAATTAAACACAGAATTAGTTAGGGACGTAAAATTGAATGATAACTAAACTTCTTATTAAGGGATCGCAATATTTCCAACAGGAAAAAAAGAATAGGGCAAACCATGGTTGAATCTGGTTGAATATTGAAATGAATTATTTGAGAAGAAGTGCTAACATATTAAGGCTGGAGAGGAAGACTAACGAATCTATAAGAACTAACA